CAAGACCAAGAGTGGGTTTTGGGGGATCTGGTTTAGGACCCTGGATGGGTTTGGGGGGTCTGGGTCAAGACCAAGAGTGGGTTTTGGGGGATCTGGTTTAGGACCCTGGCTGGGTTTGGGGGGTCTGACTCAGGGTTATGGGTGGGACTGGGTGGACCTGGCTGGTCACACGTGAGTTCGGGGTGAGTCTGGTTTAGGGCCCTGGGTGGGTTTGGGGGGTCTGACTCGGGGTTATGGGTGGGACTGGGGCACTGAGCCTCACCCAGGGCAAGAATGGGGTCCCTGCACCCCCTACTATTTTGGGGTGAGGGGCAACAGGCTTTCCCACCCTTGTGGCCCTTGGGGGGTCTCCCACCCCCTCACCCCGACCCCCCTCCCTCTGCAGAGACTCCCACCTTCCTCACCCTGCGGGACACAGCCCCCCGCCGGCCCCCCCTGCGCCCCACGGCCTTCTCAGGTGGGTCCCTCCCCAAAAACCACCCGGGGTGGGCACGGGGGGGGTGTGGGAGGGCCTGAGTGCCGCCCCCCCACCGCCTGTGCCCCCCGATTTCCCCCCCCAGGGTGCCTGAACTGCAGCCGTGTCGGGGAGCTGACGGCCCGGCTCGCCACCCTCGAGGCGCAGGTGAGCCCCAATTTGGGGTCTGCCCCCCACCCCGAGGGGCACGGGAGCCCCGGGGGGTCTCCTCGTCGCCCACCCCCGCTGTGTCTCTGCCAGGTGGCCCGGCTGGCAGCGGCAGAGCCCCCCACCCCCCCAGCGCCCAAGGGCGGCCCCCCGGGCCGGGGGCAGCTCTGGGGGTCCCCGGCGGCCCGCGGGAGCCCCGGCGATGACGGTAAGGCGGGGGGTGACAGTGGCAGTGACGGTGGCAGTGACAGTGGCAGTGACGGTGGCAGTGCCACCCGGCAGCGCCCGCGGCGCTGGGAGAGCCCCGGGGTGCTGTCAGTATATCGATTTTGGGGGGACCCCCTCTTGGACCCCTCATTTGGGGGGACCCCCTCGTGGAGCCCTCATTTAGAGGGACGAGGGGGGGATGCTGTCCCGTCCCCCCGTTGTCCCCGGCGGTGACATCGAGCCACCCAGGGGCTCCGGGAGGGGGTGAGTGACGGCGGGGGCCCCCCCCGAGGGGGTGTCCCCGGGGTGCCCCCCTCAGGGTGCCGCTCTGTGCAGGGAGACCCGGCCCCAGGGGACCCCCCGGCCCCAAGGGCGACGCGGGAGGACGGGGCCCGTCGGGAATTCCGGGAGTGAAGGGGCCGACGGGGCCGCCAGGTACGGGGAGGGGGACGATGGGATGAGGGGGGGACCCCCCCAAATCTGTCGCTTGACCCCAGCTGAGCACCCCCTCCCCTGGTGGGGGGATCTCGGGGGGTCCATGCAGCGGTTTGGGGTTCGGAGGGGGCTCCGGGCACCCCCCGACCTTCACTCTCCTCTTCCTCCCCGCAGGTCCCCCCGGCCCGCCGGGACCCCCCGGCCGGGACGGGGCCAGGGGGCTCCCAGGAGAGAAGGGACCCCCCGGGCCCCCCGGACCCCCAGGCCCCCCTGCCCCCGTGGGACCGGCGCCCCCCCGCCTGGCCCAGCCCAGTAAGGGGGGCTGGGATAAGGGGACGGGGGTCTCTCCCTGGTCTGACCCCAGAAATGGGGCTGGGGGGAGTGGGGGGAGGTTCCGTGCATTGCCCGGGCTGGGGGTGGTGTGGGGACCCCCTGCTTGTCAGTGGGGCCCTGGGGAAGAGGTGGGGGGCACTGGGAAGAGCTGGGGATCCCCTGTCATCATTGGGGTCCCAGGGATGAGGTGGGAGACACTGGGAAGAGCTGGGGGCCATCCCGACACCACCGGGGCTCCAGGGATGAGGTGGGGGCACTGGGCAGCACTGGGGACCCCCTGGTTGTCATTGGGGTCACAGGGAAGAGGTGGGGGGCACTGGGCAGCACTGAGGAGCCCCAAAACACCACCGGGGTCCCAGGGATGAGATGGGGGGCACTGGGCAGCACTGGGGACCCCCCTGACACAACCAGGGCTCCAGGGATGAGGCGGAGAGTGCTGAGCAGAGCTGGGGACCCCCTTGCCATCATTGGGGTCCCAGGGATGAGGTGGGGGGCACTGGGCAGCACTGGGGACCCCCCCTGACACAACCAGGACTCCAGGAATGAGGTGGGGGGCACTGGGCAGCACTGGGGACTCCCTGCCATCACTGGGGGCCCAAGGATGAGGTGGGAGGGGCTGGGTGGCACTGGGGACCCCTGGGCCATCATTGGGGTCACAGGGATGAGGTGGGGGACCCTGGGCAGCAGTGGGAACCCCTAACACCACTGGAGTCCCAGGGATGAGGTGGGGGGCACTGGGCAGCACTGGGGACCCCTGGGCCATCATTGGGGTCACAGGGATGAGGTGGGGGACCCTGGGCAGCAGTGGGGACCTCTAACACCACTGGAGTCCCAGGGATGAGGTGGGGGGCACTGGGAAGAGCTGGGGACCCCCCTGCCAACACTGGGGTCCCAGGGAAGAGGTGGGGGGCACTGGGCAGCACTGGGGACCCCTGGGCCATCATTGGGGTCACAGGGATGAGGTGGGGGACCCTGGGCAGCAGTGGGGACCTCTAACACCACTGGAGTCCCAGGGATAAGGTGGGGGGCACGGGGAAGAGCTGGGGACCCCCCTGCCATCATTGGGGTCCCAGGGAAGAGGTGGGGGGCACTGGGCAGCACTGGGGACCCC